GAATAAAAATAATAAGTGGATTAGAAGTGGGTTAGTAGAGTTAGAAAATCACAATTTTGCATTCATCCATAGTATGATCWCTTCAGCTATGAATCACTATTGGATTTTAAACATTTGTGGGTAAGAGTTCAATGATGAAAGAATAATTATGAAATTTTGAATCATCTCATTACAAGTTACTTATTACACAGGGGAAAAGTCACTTTACTGTGGATTAACCTCATGAACACCACCTTAACCTACTAATTAAAGTTAACATTAATAAATGGGACAAATGGCATTACAACTTTCTGATAATCTGCCTCAAAAAGGACATAACAGCCGGGTGCAGTGACTCATGCCTATAATCCCAGTAGCGCAGGAGGTTGAGACAAGAGGATCATGAGTTCAAAGCCAGCCTCAGCAAAAKCGAGGCACTAAGAAACTTGGTGAGACCCTGTCTATAAATAAAATACAAAATATGGCTGGGGATGTGGCYCGATGGTCTAGTGCCCCTGAGTTCAATCCCCACTACCCTCCCGCCCCAAAAAAAGACATAACAGGTTTCAGCCAAATATAACTCAATCTAAGTACAGGAACATACCACATAAACACAAATTGTGGGATGTTCTAAAAATAAATGTGATTTTGAAAGACAAATAAAAGTTGAGAAATCACTCCAGATTAAAGAAACTAAAAGTATAAGACAACAAAATGATCATAGGTTAGGGAACAAAACATAGCTATAAAAAGCATTTTGGAGACAACTGATGAAATTTGTAATAAACTATGGATTAGTTCAAAGTTTATCAATTTTCTTTGTTCATTATGACTTTAATAACTCAGTAATTTTTGTTTCACGTTGCCCATTGCTCAAATGACATACCTAGGTCCAAACAACTTATAGGTAATTATAACATAAGAATCTGGTAACCATTATGAAAACATGTAAATTGAAAAAAAATTTATTTCATTTTAAATTAGTAATTAATCACCAGTGAAGTGCACACACACATGGGTGGGTCACTGTACTTCTCAGATTGGACAAGACCATCCTCATTTATGGTTCTGCATTGATTTTACACCATACTTGTTTGTTTGTGATGCTGGGGATTACTATATCTTTTTTTATCTTTTTTTTTTTTCAGTTGTAGTTAGACACAATACCTTTATTTCATTTATTTATTTTTAGGTGGTGCTGAGAATGGAACCCAGGGCCTTGCACTTGCTAGGCGAGCACTCTACTGCTGAGCTACAACCCCAGACCACTATACCTGTTTTTTACTCACAATAAGGAAATACAGTTTAACCAAGATAAGACATATACAAGGAATGTGGCGCCATCTATTGTTGTTATTATAAACGACGTCAAGCTAGTAGTTTTGCTGTCTTGTTTCATTCTGTTTGTCTWGAAACGTTAGATATCCCCTTGTGAATTCACTGTGGGGCTGTGAGACAGCTCAGTGCAATTTGAAAAATCACAAGATTATATAGTAGTGCTTTATAAATGTTGCATCTCCTGATTTTGATAAACTTTTCTTATGTAGGACAAAGTCCTTGTTCTTAGACAAGACATATTAAAATATATATGGATAAAGAAACATGTCTGGGGGCTGGGGATGTGGCTCAAGCGGTAGCRCGCTCGCCTGGCATGCATGCGGCCCGGGTTCGATYCTCAGCACCACATACCAACAAAGATGTTGTGTCCGCCGAGAACTAAAAAATAAATATTAAAAATTCTCTCTCTCTCTCTCCCATCTCTCACTCTCTCTTAAAAAAAAAAAAAACATGTCTGCAAATTAATCTCAAATAATTCAAAGAAAATATGTATATATGTACATTCAGAAAGCTAGTGGGCACAATTGATATGATAAATGGGACAAAATGTTAATAATTGATGGGTCTGGAAAGGTAGACAAATATTTTTGTACTGTTCTTGAAATTTTTTGTGAAATTATTCCAAAATAAAGACCTTTTTAAATATGAAATGCAATACTACATTTTTTTAAAAAAATATTTTTTTAGTTGTCAATGAACCTTTATTTATTTATATGTGGTGCTGAGTGCTTCACACAATGCAAGGCAAGCACTCTACCATTGAGCTACAACCCCAGCCCAGTAATACTACATTTTAAGGTATATAAAAATGTAGTACAACAACTTTAAATGCCTGGTGATGGAAAGCACTAATTTATATGGCTGTGGCCTTTTGTAGAGAGGGAGGAGAGGGATGTCTTGGGGAAAGGTACACACAGCCTTGGTGATGTTTTCTTTCTTAAGCCAGGTGGCAGATATATAAGTATTCATTATAGTTTTATATATACATTTAAGTATGTCCAAAATGTTTCATAATTTACTTTATTTATAATACTTTCCCAAAGAGTCTTTCTTAATATCTTTATTTATTTATTTTTATGTGGTGCTCCGAATCGAACCCAGTGCCTCATACATGCTAGGCAAGTGCTCTACCACTGAGCCACAAACCCAGCCCTCCATAATTTACTTTTTAAAGTATATATTTTGAATATATAAAATCTTTCCTGATACATTAAAAAATGGGAAAATGAGTAAACAACAGCATATACTTACTGTTTATTGGATGATTACCTCYATACATCCATAGACTCAACCAATCATGGATCAAAATTATTCAGAAAAAAAGGTTTGTTTTTGTATTAAACATGTACAGATATTTTTCTTGTTATTATCACTATTCCCTAAACAATATATCGTAACAATTATTTACACAGCATTTGCTGTTAGTACTAGTTATTATTTATTTATTAACTTAATTATTTATTATTAACTTATTTTATTAAGTTATTGAGAGATGATTTAAAATCTATGGAAGGATATACATAGTTATATGCAAATATCACATACATCATTTTATATCAAGACTTGAATATCTGAAGGGGTTCCTGAAATCAATCCCTTGAGGGCTGACTATACTTCACATGAATTATTTCCTACAATGCTTACCACCATCACATGCCTCTGTCATCCCAACATACGGGGTAACAGAACTCACGCTCATACTGTACCTTCCTGGTCCATAATATACATAAATAATCCCTRATACTCTTTCTTCTTTTTATATTAAAGACTGTAAAAAGAAAGCTAACTTTCTTCCTTTTTCAATTTCCAACCAACTGAATGCATGCAGAACATGTGGCCATACATATTAAAGCTTCAATATGAAATCACATCAATATGAATGATCTTCAATATGTTTTACTGCTCTTATTATCAAAGGTATCATAACTAACGCAATCTTTGACAGCTGAATATTTGAAATTCTGCAATTATTCTTCCACAATATCAGTTCTATTACAGGGTCAAAAGCTAACCATCACAGAAATTAAACRTTTAGTGATTTTTTAAGTAATGATAGATCACCATCTTGGATTTATGAAGAATCATTCTTTTAAGCTTTAAATTATCAAAATTCAAACCAGGACTTATATTACATATGTGTAAAGAGTTCTAGATGTTTCATTGAACAAAGTTGACTTGATTATGCAAACAATCCACAAAAAGCTTTTCRTAGGAAAAGCATTTAATGTTTAAAATTGAAATATTTGAAAATCTGATTTAAAAGTAACTAGTATGATATTCTGAGCCTTTATTCACTGTCTTCCCACAAATGTATTTAAGATGTTGAAGGCTWTGTTAGAACAAGAGCAATGCCACYTTTGCCTTGGTAATTTGCTGGAATATTGACAACCATTCTTATCCAGGGCACTAAATAATCATATGTCAAGTTCTRTTTATCTTTTGTAACTGAAGCTACTGACTCAATTTTTTTTGCTATTCCTTGTCAGACTGGCTTTTTTTCAAATAGTTGCTTTTCTTATCCCAAGAAAAGTGGTTATCTAAGAATTCATTTTTCTTCTACCTTGACTCTTCAGCTAAGGGAAAGGTAAGAAAGGAATTCGAGGCTGTTTGGATGTGAGTGCAGGCAGAGGGGAACATGAAGGAGTTTATAGCCACAACTGCACACCTTGCTGAGTTAGACAAGAACATAAGAAGYACCTAGTCTGAGCTTTCCTCTTGCAGAGGAGTCCACTAATCAGGTTGCAGAGCTATGTAACACAGGAGCAAAGAATAAACAAAAACCTTCGCCTTGACTCCAAATGGGCAACTCCATTTTTAAAAAATTCAGATTCAGAGTTCTGTCTTGCCTAGTTCTTCTTCCAGAACCAGAGCTCTGACTTCCTCAGCTGCCCAACTCCTGACCTCTACCTCTCAGGATGTTGGAGCAGGGAAAATAACACAGTGGGCCCTGTGTATCTGCAGTTTCTGTGTCTGCGGATTCAACCAATAGTTCAAAAACTTTAAGTGGGGGGGAAGCAAAACGTTTTGCTGAACATGTACAGAAATAGAAATTTTCTTATTCCTATTCCCTAAACAATACAGTATGACAACTAYTTATTTTGCATTTACCTTGTATTTGATATTATAGGTAATCTAGAGACATTTTAAAGTATACATGAAGCTGTGCGCAGGTTATGTGCAAATACTATGCCGATTATATAAGGGACAGGAGCATCCTTGGTAGGGGATGCTCCAAGGGGGTCTTGGAATCAATCCCCAGCAGATACCGAGGAACAACTAACTGTATTGGAGGAGGAAAGGTAATAGCAGAGGGACTCAGGTAGGGAAGAACCCTGGAAGGAACAACTCCCCCGAGCAAAAAAAAAGAAGCCGAGGTCTGCTTGGAATTAATGGCGTGGCTGGGCCTTGAACTGACACTGAGCATCTCCCCTAACCATCCAAGATCTCTACCGCGAGGTGCGATAGCAACAAATGCCTCCAGTCCTGGCGCCCGGAAAACAAGGCCGCGCTCTCCCGCAGTGTCAACCCAGACGCCCCACGACGCCGCCCTCCCGTCAAGGGACCCGGCTTGGCACGGTCGCCGAAGCCAGAAACCGGGTGACAAGAGCCGCGTCTCCGGAGCCCGGCGATGACGTCAGCCGCCGCGCTCCAGCATCGCGAGACTCCCCTCTCCCTCCCCCGGCTCCYTGCCTCCTAACCGCCCGCGCCTGCTGCCAGGCAGCGGCGAGGATGGCGAGCCGTGGAGCCCGGCCGGTGACGAGAGCAGCGGCTCCGCCATTGGGCGACGAGGCCTGAGGGACGGGCCAGTTTGGCGCACGAGGAGAGACTCAGGCGGCCCCGAGAGAGCCAGGGCAATGGAGGCCAACATGCCGAAGCGGAAGGAGCCTGGCAAGTCCCTCCGCATCAAAGTCATCTCCATGGGCAACGCCGAAGTGGGGAAAGTGAGTACCGGGCGCCGGGAGGGGCGGGACCGCGGCGAGCGGGGCGACGTTCTCATTGGCTGGGAGGGCGGCCACTCAAGAGCCTGGGGCCCATCCTCTTCCCCGCCCCCGAGCAGGCCCAGCGCTCTCGAGAAGCGCCAGCCCGGCGAGGAAAACTATCGTGACCTTTTTGACCTTTAGATCGTCCCCCTCCTTCACCGACGTCACTCTCCCTAAAGGTGTCTGGGGTGGCCTCTAACCCTTCYGTGTACCCCAAAGAGCGTCAGGAGGCCTGGGTGTTAATGTCGGCTGGTCTGCTCAGGTTCCAGACCAGCGTTCTAGGTGACCGGTCCAGCTCCTGGAGGTGGAGAATAAAAGTTCTTGGGAGCCGATGGAACTTAGTGGGGTGCACCCGGAATCTACCTTCCCATCATAAACGAGCATAACCGAACCCAGRTTTTCACAGGTGCACTGGGTGGTAAGGATCTCGACTTGTTTTTAATTTCCCGTCATCACGTCCATTCTCCCARAGATGCCTCAGTTCCACCGCCTTTCTCTCTGCTGTCTGCTGAGTGTTAGACATAAACTCGCCATTGAATGGGAGAGGGAGAAACAGTGGTGATCACACGCCTTTCCCTAAATGAATTCTGTCCCTCTTCGCCCAAGTTGTCTCTCCTGGTTAAGTGGAAGCTCTTGGTTAAAAACCACCCAAGGTCATCGAATTAGTGGCATATGGGATTGGAACCCGAGTGACATTTTCCCACTGCGGTGCTCTTTCCATCACTGAATGTTGTCAAAATCAACTGGCGAACTAGGTTCTAAATGCAGAAGCTACTAAGGAGTGTAATTTGCAGGAGATGCTCAGGGAATGTTTATTAGTTTTGTTTTTTTTCTATTTAGCATGATCCTGTACTACTTATGTGTCTCTGTGTACATAAGTATTAACAGCACTTACTGAGAGTCAACATTTGTTGAATGTTAACTATGTGCCAGGTGTTAAAAAGAAGAGAAAAACCTCTAGGGTATGTACTAAACTGCCTAAGTGAGCATATGTCATTTTGGTAATTTACTATGCAATATTAGAAGCATCCCCAAATGCCCAGTGTAACAACATTTATTTAACATTTTCCTAGTTTTCTTAGCCAATGCAACTAGAAAAGAGAAAGAAATATGTATTTGCAATAACAAATGAAATAAAATGCCTAGGTCTAAACTTAAGAATCGGTAGGACCTACATGAAAGAATTATCCAAACTCTACAAAGGGACAAAAATTACTTTTGCAAATGGAAAGATACACTTTTCCCTTAGGTAGGCTACTCAATATATAGTGTATTGTTATTTAAAATAATCTACAAAAGTTGCTCAATTACAGTTAAATCATCAGTGAAGTTTCAGAACATCATAAAAAGTTACCAAAGCTTGGTTGGCTCCTTGGTAGAGCGCTTGCCTTGCATGCGTGAGACCCTAGGTTCGATCCCCAGTACCACATAAAAATAAAACAAATAAAAATAAAGATATTGTGTTCAACTACAACTAAAAAAATAATTTTAAAAAGTCACTAAAAGCTCTTTTGAAAAATTAAACATGAGAATAACCAAGAAAATTATGAAAATAGATATGAGAGAATAACTCTACTAGATATTTTTAAACATATTAAAGTTGCCAAACTTTTCCTGTTGGAACCAGAAAGGAAATATTGATACATAAGTGGAACAGAATAGAGTTCAGAAATACACTCAAACACAAAAGGAAATTCAGTTTATGTTTACTGCATTGTACGATCATGAAAAAGTAGAGTCCTTTTAATAAGAACTATTGGAACAACTGGCTATTATTTGGGGTGGGGTGKATTCCTACTGCATTTCTTTCTCAAAGTAAATTTAAAATAGATTAAAAATTTAAGTATAACTTTTTAAAAATTTATTATTTTGTCTTAGTTATAAAAGTAGTACATACCTGCTTTTAAGAATTTGGAAAATAGAGAAATATAAACAGGTAAATAATTTTAAAGATAAAAATCAAGGGCTGGGGCTGTAGCTCAGGAGAGTGCTTGCCTCACATATGTGAGGCACTAGGTTTGATCCTCAGCACCACATAAAAATAAATGAATAAATAAAGATATTATGTCCATCTGCAACTAAAAATTTTTTTTGAAAAATCAAGATATACCCTATAAGTAATCCTTCAATCAGAAAGCAAATCAAAACAAAAGAAAAAGTAACTGAAAAGCAATGAAAAAGAAGAGACTCCAAGTCAAAACCTTAAGGATAAGACTAAAGCAATAGTAAAAGCACTACAATGTCTTACTCATTTCTAAGGAAGAGAAAAACTGAAGGAACTTAGGGTTTCACAACTTTGTGAGTATACTAAAAACCACCAAAGTGTATACATTAAAAAATGCAAACTTGGGGGCTGAGGTTGTGGCTCAGTGATAGAGCACTTGCCTAGCACAGGTGAGGAACTGGATTCGATCCTTAGTACCACATACAAATAAATAAATAAAAATAAAGGTTAAATTCTTTAAAAAATGTGAATTTTATAGTTTGTAAATTAATGCTCAATTAAAACTAGAGAAACAATACTTATGACATTAGGAGAAAAAACACAAAATTAACTGAAAGAATTATTTAGAAAGACTAATGAAAATGAAAAATGTCTTAAAATCTTCTTAAGAAAAATAGAGAAAGCAAAAAAAATATTGCAAAATTTATACTGGAAGAGACTAAAAGAATGATGAGAGAATACTATATACAATTCTATGTGATTACATTTGAAAATGGAAGATTTCCTGGCAAAGTACAAATTTCAAAAATTACAAAGTAGAAAATCCAATCTCTTTTCAGAAGAAATTTAAAAGCTTAAAGATTTACCATCCAAAAAGGAGGTATCAGATGGTTTCACAGATGAGCTTTATTTAAGCTTTAAAAAACATATAATTTTAATTATTTAAGTAATTCCAGAGCAAAAAAAAAAAATAATTAGCACCCAATTTATTATATGAAGTTATAGTAATTTTAGCAAAACTTGATATTGTATCACATGCACATAAAAATACAATATTTCTAAGTATCAACAAATAGAATTCAACAATATATCAAAAACCATTCATATTGACAAGGTTTATCCAAAGACTGCAAACATGGTTCAATATCAAGAACTTAAGGGGGTAGGTTTGTGGCTCAGTAGTAGAGCGCTTGCCTAGCATGTGTGAGGCACTGGGTTCAATCCTCAGCACCACATAAAAATAAATTACTAAAGGTACTGTGTCCATCTACAACTAAAAMATTATTTAAAAGAAAAAGGAAAATATAATTTGCTATATCAACAAATCAGTAGAGGAAAGCTGTATGATACTTTCAATAGGGTAGAAATATTTTATATAACCAGTAGTTGATTCTGATAAATAATCCTTAAAATCAGAATAAAATGAAACCTTTTTAAATATGATAAAGAATATTTGTTATTAACCACCAACAAACATCATGTCAATTGGTAAAATACTAAGGCAATTTCCATTAAAAAGATACAAAAGAGAATACTTGCAGTTATCCTTATTATTGAACACCATTTTAGAGTTTCTAGAGATATAATGAGAAAATGAAATAGGCAGTATAAATAGTCAAAGAGAAGGCTGGGGTATAGCTCAGTAGTAGAGCATTCGCCTAGCATGCACAAGGTCCTGGGGCTCAATCCTCAGTACTGGGGGGGGGAATAGAGAGATAGATATAAGTAAATAATCTTTTTGCTGATTATATTTTATATCTAGACTATCCAATTAAGCCTTTAACCTGATTTAGTTAGAGAGTGTGGTAAGGTGACTAAATATAAAAAAATACATAAAAATAAGTTATCTATATTAGCAATTAAATCTAAAAGTAGAAGTAGAAAAAGATATTCTGTTTACAATAATAAAACCTAAAACATCAGTAACAACATATGTAACAAGAAATATATAGTACTTACAGGAAAAAATTAAAATCTGAACCATGGGAAACCATGTTCTTTTATGGGAAGACCATATTATACTGCCAGTTCTTCTAAATTTAGTAAGCAAATTTAATGCAGTTCCAATTAAAATCTTAGCAAGTTATTGGGCCTTTTTAAAAATTATTTTTTAATTTTTAATTTTTTTAGATATTTTTAGTTGTAGTTGTTGATGGACTTTTATTTATTTATTTTTATGTGGTGCTAAGCATTGAACCCAGTGCCTCACACATGTAAACATGTGAGCTACATCCCCAGCCCCTGGGCCTTTTTTTAAAAAAGGGGATTATTTTTTAGGAGAATTATCCTAAAATTCATAAGAAAAAAACTAATCAAAATATGAGAAAGAAARAAATGGGGCTGGACAGTAGAAAGAGGGGAGTTTTCTTAGGCAGTTGATATAGTCTAAAGCTAATCAAGAAAGCATGTATTAGCATAATCAAGACAAACCAGATAAGTGGAACAGAACAGAAAGTTCAGAAATAGATGGAAAATGTTAAAAGTGTTATCTTCACTAAATACAAAAGTAAACTACAATGAACTTATGGTTTAAATATTTCAAAACAATAAAATTTTCAGAAGAAAATGTGAAAATACGTACAACCTCAGAGAAATCTTTATAGCCGAGAAAGTAAACTCAGAAACCATTAAAAAAAAAAAAAAAAATTGAAAGAGCAGATACCATGGTGTACAACTGTAAAACCAGTGGACTTGGGAGACTGAGGCAGGAAGATTGCAAGTTCTAGGCTAGCCTTAGCAATTTAGTGAGACCCTAAGCAACTTAGTGAGACCCTGTCTCCAAATTAAAAACAAAAAGGGCTGGGAATGTGGCTCAGCGGTAAAGTACCTCTGGGTTCAACCCCACTACCAAAAGAAAGAGAGAGAGAGAGAGAGAGAGAGATTAAAAGAATGATTAGAAAATACTACATAAATTTAATATAATTTTTTATATTTAGTACTGTAAATGTGAATAATAATATAGTATTACATATAAATAATAAAAGCAAAATAATAATACCTATTAAAAAGTTAAAAG